ACTCTCTCTACAGAACCCCACTTCAAAAGAGCTAAACTAACTCAACTTTACATTTTTCAGATTATGATGTCTGATTTCCAAATCAAGACCGCCGAGGCCGAAGGCATGGTCCTTGGCACTCTGACCCTGGCTTACTAAAGCTGGCTCTTAAGACATGGAATGTAACCCTTCTGGCGGGAAGGAGCCTGAGCTTGTGTCTGCGGTTGAGAGGTACCGACTGGATATAGTAGGGCTCACCTCGACGCACAGCATGGGCTCCTGAACCAATCTCCTTGAGAGGGGCAAAATCTTATTCCACTCTGGAGTTACCCGTGTTGAAAGGTGCCAAGCTGGTGTGGGTCTACTTTTAGACCCCAAGTTGGTGCCTGTGTGTTAGAGTTTTCCCTGGTCGATGAGAGGGTAGCTTCCTTGCGCCTTTGGATGCGGGGATGGGGTCTGACTGTTGTTTGTGCCTATGTACCAAATGGCAGTTCAGAGTATCTGGCTTTCTTGAAGTCCTGGGCGGGGATGCTGGAAGGTGCACCAGCTGGGGACTCCTTTATTCTGCTGGGGTACTTCAATGCCCATGTGGGTGATGACAGTGTAACCTGGAGGGGCGTGATTGGGGGGAATGGCCTCTCTGATCTGAACCCGAGTGGTCTTCTGTTGTTGGACTTCTGTGCTAGTCATAGTTTGTCCATCACGAACACCATGTTTGAACAGGGTGTCCATAAGTGCACTTGGCACCAGGACGCCCTAGGTCGTAGATCGATGATTGACTTTGTAGTCGTGTCATCTGATTTCCGGCTGTTTGTTTTGGACACTCTGGTGAAAAGAGCAGCTGAGCTGTCAACTGATCACCACCTGGTAGTGAGTTGGATTAGATGGTGGGGAAAGATGCCAGACAGACCTGGAAGGCCCAAACATGTAGTGAGGGTTTGCTGGGAACACCTGGCAGAAGAACCACATTCAGTCTAAGTGGGCCGTGTCCCACGCCCCAACTGTTGAGGTGGCTGCCTTGAGCTGTAGTTGCAAGATTCTCGATGCTTCTCGCGGTGGCCATCCTCGAACATGGTGGTGGATACCATGGGTTAGGGAGGCTGTCAAGCTGAAGAAGGAGTCCTATCAGGCCTTGTTGGCCGGTAGGACTCCATAGATAGCTGAGAAGTACCAGAAAGCCAAGCAGTCCACAGGTTTGGTCGTTGCTGAGGCAAACGCTTGGATGTGAGAGGAGTTCGGTGGGTCCTTGGCTAAAACTCTCAGTCAGCTCTGAGGAGATCCTGGCAAACCATCAGGTGGCTGAGGAGGGAAGGCAGCACTTTACTAACACTGTGTCCAGTGAAGGTGGGGTGCTGTTGATCTACCAGTGATATCATTGGGAGGTGGAAGGAATACTTCTCAGACATTCTCAATCCCACCAGCACATCTTCCATGGAGGAAGCTGAGTTGGGGGGCTTTGGGGTTGGTCTGTCCATCACTGTGGCTGAGGGTGCCGAGGTATAAGAAGCTGCATGGCTGCAGGGCTCTGGGAGTGGATGAGATTCACCCTGATTTCCTTAAGACTCTGGATGTTGTGGGGCTGTCTTGGTTGACACACCTTTGCAACATTGCGTGGACATTGGGGACAGTGCCACTGGATTTGACTAGAGGGTGTGATCCAATTATAGGGGCATCACTCTCCTTAGCCTCCCTGGTAAGGTATTTTCAAGGGTACTGGAGAAGCGAGTCCGATTATTGGTCAAACCTCAGATACAGGAGGAACAACGTGGGTTCTGTCCTGGCCGTGGAACACTGGACCAGGTCTTTACCCTCACTAGGGTCTTCGAGAGGTCATGGGAGTGTGCCCATTATCTATGTGTGTGTTGTAGACTTTGAGAAGGCTTTCAACCATGTTCCTTGAGGTACACTGTGGGGGGTGCCGTGTGAGTATGGAATTGGGAGATCGTTGCTACTGGCTGTTCTGTCCCTATACAAGCGGTGCAAGAGTTTAGTTTGAATTACCGGTAGTAAATTGAACTTTTCAGGGTGGGAGTTGGACTGTGCGACCCAACTTCGGAACAAAAAGAATATGATGTATGTGTGTATGTATGTATGTGTGTATGTGTGATTTCTAAAATGGACAAGTTAAAGTGTAGGAGCATTCTGCCTGGCACCTTTTTCCCCTAGAAAATGTTTTTCATTGTTTAGACAAAAAAAGCACATTGGACAACACCTTTGATTGTGAAACTCTGCTGAAACTCACACCTTCCAACATCTGCTTTGTGATTCTGAAGAAAAAGCAAACAACAGAAGCTTCTGTCTTGCAAGTGAAACTGAGAAAACCCCTTTGATGCCAACGCAGTGAGCAGAAAGCTGCTCTGGATTGAGTATGCTATACAGTCACATGTAGTAACTGTTGCTCCATATTGTGGGAAAGTACTGTTACTGTCACAGGTTTCAGCAGAGCAAAAGGCTTGCATTTGGTACTGAGAGAAGGCTGTCACCACTTCCTGTACCTGCTCGCTGTGATTTATTTTGTGCACCGTGAGATGAACTGCTTAGCTGCTGCATCCTATCTGAAATTCTCATCAGTTTCCCCTTTTTACCTGCATATGTGCATGCAGATGTTAATTTAGATGCACAAAAGCACATTTATATATGTCCTAATCTATATTTTAGTACAGAGCTGAACAAGCAATAAGAAACTGTCACTATAATTGTTTTCACTGTCAGTGCATCTGTAGCGTTTGTTGATTTACTCTGTGTAGCTCTCTACTACTCTTTTTGTTCACAAGTAAATCATGCGTGCAGCTCCTTGATGCAAAACCATCACACGTTTAAGTCAGGACATTGTGGCTTTATGAGTTTCACTGAAAACAACGTGGGGTTGACATTTACTGACTATTGACCACTTTGTTTCTTATCCTGTCTCAGTCTCCATCCACAAGACGTCATTATGAAGATGATTTGTCAAGAAGCAAGTGAAGTGTTAAACCTAACCATGCAGTCGGTTTAAAAATAAAATTGACGGGTTTGTTTTGCTAACTTGATCTCTGAGCTAGCGTTAAGCTATGAAGCAACACTAAATATCCTACAACCTTTGCCTACAATGGTCAAAGGTTTGACGTTTTATGGTCTGAAAGAGTGAAATACAAAATTATACAACAATAGACAATGACAACACAATCATAAAAGAAAGCATACAAATTGACAAGAACAAATGAAAGAAAATGGCATTCAAAAAACAAAACAGCTAGATTGTAAAGTGATGTAAAAATACTAAAAACAGGAACATGCCTGCATTGGTTTTTTTCCCCATGACCTTAGCAGATGTTTGAAGCCACTCAGAGAGGTCAAGGTCAAGAGCTTCAGATCATTTTGCAAGATTTTCCAGGATACAGGAGCAAAGTAGAAGGCCCTAGTTCTGTCTGTACTGAAGGAACACTGCAGGTAATTATGTCCTGAGAGTGCACGTTGTAACTCACGCAGAGACTTGTAGGAGATGAAGCTCTGAAGATGTTAGCTCTTAGCGTATCTGCTGTGAATGACTATCAACCACTATCACACCAGAGTTTTGCTAAACACCTGTAAAACTGGCTGCTATAGCTATTTTTGTGTTTCCTAAGGAGAATTGGCTTTGGCAACCATCTTGAATCGGGTTGATTCCAAAAGTTAATCTGCTGCAGAAGTACTTTCAGATATTAATGAGCGAGTTTCTAAAAAATTAATTCATGCATTAATGAGATGCAGTGCTATCAAACAGGGACAGTCGACACCAATAATTAGTGATCATTTTTAAAACATCTTGTGTGATCAGTTAATGCTAAAAGTATGGCTTGAGGATAACAACTACTACTACACCAGATTTTAGCTCAGTAAACACTGAGCTAAAACAAATGTAAAACTGACTAAGATGTAGCTATTGTTGTTTGCTTAGGTGGCTTACCTCTGGCGGCCATCTTAAATAAAGTTAAGTGCAAAACTTAAGCAGTTGTAGAAGCCAAACAATTCATTTCTGAAAGATTCATTAATGATTGTCTTGTGGTTCACAAGTTATTTTACTAGACACATAGAGAAAAACATTATGGCCCTTTAACCTTTGACGGCAGGCGATAAAGATCCATACCTTTCCAAAAAAACAAGTAGAGGTTTCAAATTTTATAGTGTGGAAGTCACACAAAATCCAACTATTTAAAGTTATGATGCACTCAAATGGTTTATGCATACATAGCAGTATGGCGCCCCCTTGTTGAATCCAATCCACTTCTTTAAAATCCTAGTTTTAACGTTAGGCAGGTTGATCTCCAATTCAAATGTCTAAAAATGAAACTTTTTTGTTATCCAGTATACATACACGTCTTATATATAAAAACGTAAATTATTCATGACTAAAATCAGCACAAATATTTTTAGACGCAACTTTTATTAGCCCATATTTTGCACAATCCAGACAAGCGCACATCTAGTGCAGCAGTAGATGTGTCACACTCTACGAGAACCATTTCTTCATGAAAGTCTTGTAAATACAGCGATACAAAAAATACACAAAGATTCCACACAAAAAAATATTCTAGGCCCTTTAAATCTAGATGTAGAAGCGACACAAGAAAAATAAATTTGCTTTAAAGTTCCAACTTCCACTATTAGAAATAATCAAGAGTGAAATACAATTAAAAGGTTTAAATGGCAAATAAACCGAAGAGTGACCTCAAGCATCACGAAGCATCACTTTTTACTAAACTGATCACTAATGAGCAAAAAGATTTGCTTGGAACTTGGTCTCACTCGCTAAAACTGGATTTCAAGGTGCTGCTTAAATTAAGACAAGAATATCAGTAATTATTACCTAGCGTGTAGTACTTCCCATTTGATAAATATGAGAGCAAAGCTTGAGACAGGGAGTTTATTTCTGTCTACTTCAGCGAAAGGACAAGGCCTCTTTCAAGCAGGAAATTGCATAGAGCACTGAGAGGAGAGTGGTGGCTACTATAGATGAGCTCAAGGTTCAGACAGGAAAAAAAAGTGTATTCAGTTGTGTGTGCAGTCAACCTATCAGCTCCTGCGCTTTCCTAAAGCAAATAAGTACAGAATATGTCAAGTAAAGTTAAAATAATTCTTTGTAGAAAGACTTTTCATTGTCTTTCTCGTCGTATAACACTGGAACTGATGGTTTCCTGTCGACACCACCGTTGTATATTTTGGTCCTGTTTTTCTGGTCGATGCGTGTAGAACTCAGTCGTCAGGCTCATACCTGAAACAGAAAACAAAATATATATATTTTTTTACTTTCTGATCATATATCTGTAGAATACCACAGTACAGTAGTCCCTCGTTTATCGCGGGGGGTCCGTACCCTGAAGCCCCGCAAGAAGTGAAAACCATGAATTAGGAATAGTAGTACAAGTAGTAAGTAGTAGTTTATTTTATTATTTATATATTAAGGTGTTTAAAACCTTTCCCACACTCTTACAATATTCTAAACAATGTTTCTAAGCTCTAAACGCTCTAAAAGAGCACAGAACGTCATGATTTCAGCTCTCTGTCTCATCTGCTCTCAGCCACCTGCAAACGTTCTTGGCCACGCCCACTTCTCCGCTCTGCACGGAGAACAGCTGATCAGCTGCAGCAGGAAGCTTGTCCTGCAGTATGGGCTGCACACAGGTGCAGCAGGTGCTAAATAATTTAAAATAATTTATTTTGAATAAAAATCCCATGCCAATCATGCGGCTCATCCATCAGTCAACCAATTGTGTGTCATGTCCAATCTTATTTAGAAAAAACGCAATAGAGGGAGGCCACGATAAACGAACCACGAAGTAGCGAGGGACTACTGTAATAGAGATTGTTAAACTGCCGTCTCTTTCTGTATCAGAGTTGGTATGTTGTTGTTTTTTTTAAGAATGATGAATGCTCACTTTTGCAATCGTTTCCTAATTTCTTTAATCTGTTCGTTCTTCTTCGTTAGAATCTCCTTCATGTTGCGGTATGCTGCAGTTTGCTGAAACTTCTTGTCCAGCTCCTGCACACAAAACATCAAATCTTCAAACAGGAATGGAAAAGAGGAACCTGACCACTAGAATAATACATGGGGAGTGTAACATAACCTTGGACATTTATCAAAGTTCATGCTCAATAATCCAGGTAAAAAAATCCAACAAAGTTCAGTCAGGTCATCTGGACTGTTTTTTTTTATTTTTTAGGCATTTTGTCCATCATCTAAAGGACTTCATCAGTCTGAGGAGCCACAACAAACTGAGTCCCACAAGCAGCATGCCCACATAGTGGACCAACCAGATTACTGGTGATAAGATGGTTTCTGGGGCCCGCCCTCTCCCCTGTTGACTCCTCTGAGGCAGCCATAGCCAAAATGGTTCAAAACATCAACGTTCACGCGCAATAATCCAGGTAGAAAATCCAACAAAGTTCAGTCAGGTCATCTGGACGTTTTTTTTTTTTTTGAGACATTTTGTCCTTCATCCAAAGGACTTCATCCGTCCGAGGAGCCAAAACAAACTGAGTCCCACAAGCAGCACACTCACATAGTGGACCAACTTCATCAGGACTGATGAAGTCCTTTGGATGAAGGACGAAACGTCTAAAAAAAATAAATAAATAAATTAAAACAGAAACTGTCCAGATGACCTGCATGAACTTTGACATTTAGTTTATGTTAGCTTCATGTTGGTTAATGTCAGCTGAAATAATCCTTAACCTGCTTAATTTAAAAATATAAAAGATAGAAAAAGCTCAAAACAGAACAAAGAAAGGCCCAGATCAAAGAGCATGTGGACGGATGAGCTATTCTTGCTTTAACTTTCTAAAAACACAATATTTCTCTGTGTGGAGTTGCAATGAAGAGTTAGATGGTTGTTCAAATATATGAATATATTGTTTGAGGCATTCAAAATCAGCTACTACGCAGAAACTATGTAAATGTGTTTTGCTGAGATGTTGACAAGTAATGAACAAAATAAATAGAAACAAACTGAACTTCGGAGGAAGCGTTTCATTCATAATCTTTTTATAGACGTTTTGCAAATACAAAAATGCCAAAGGTAAGTGGGAAACCCAAGAATACTGTTTGAACTCTTACAGAACCTGTCAGTTGCATGATCTTATGATGGGAGAGTGACGATGGAAAACCTTGCTTCCTCTCACAGACAAGAAGAGGAAGGCTTTTATTAGCATAAACATGCTGCTGCACTTCCCTAATCAGCACAATCAGTGACACGCACACATTGTTGCATCCGACCAACAACACCTGAGCATCTCGACTTAACACACTGATGCTTGTTGGTGCAAATCACCAAGAAGAAGCAGGAGCTGTAACGCTGACGCACCTTCTCTGCTAAGGCCAGCTGCTCCTGCACTCTTAGAAGCTCGTGTTTGGCAGAGATGAGGTTCTCCTGCAAATCCTTCTGCGATGCAGAGTTGGCGCTAAGAGACCTTTCATAGTCCTCCTTCAAGGCTGCTACTGTGTTCTCTAGACTGTTGATCTCCTGGGATTGAGCAGCAAGCTTGAGGGCAGAAGAAGAAACCCAGTTAAGGTTTAAATGGCCCTAATGGCTGATTGTTACTAAAACAACCTGAAGGTACAGAATCTACCCTGTGTTTCTAACAGCATCAGACAAGAAAACCATAGATACATACCATTTAGCCCAAAGTTAGCAGATTAAAGCAAATGGCAGCAATAGTTTTGATGAAAATGAAAAAAAAGCAATATAAATAAAAGCAAAAACATTTGCGAACTTTAACAGTTTTTTTTTTTAATCGCCAACAATACCTGGAATCATACCTGCTGTTCACCTTGTACTTTCTGCAGGTCTTTCAGGGCTCTCTCTACCTTTGTTTTCCCTTCTAAAGCACTCATAGCCTGTCAACATTATTTTTGATAAAAACAAAACAACTGTTAATAATTTTCAAAGGGAAAAAAAAATGCAGCTTTAAAAAAAAACAAACAAAAAAAACTTTTATACCTGAGATTCTAAAGACCGAAGCCTGGCTTTTAGTTTGTTGTTTTCCTCCTGTAGTCTTGCAATTTCCTTGAAAAAAAACACAACAATAATTGTGTTTATGTGCTTTAATAGCAACCGTCTGTGTGATTAACTCATGTAACGTAACATTACCTTATTAAGAAGTTCCGACACCCCGCCTTCATTCAGCGGCGCTAACTTGGGTTTGCTCATTTCTTGGTTTATCTGGAGACAAAATGAAGAATAAATAGAAAGCTTTGAGAAAGGCTCACATGCACAGGGATGCTGCGTGTTTCTGACATTCATGTGGGTGTATATATGCCAGAATAACTTAATTAACGGCAGCAGCATGGATGGTAATGTCTCAAAGTCCTGCACGGGAAGAAGCATGTTGTGCGCACCTTATTGGTGGTTTTAAAGTCAGTCTTCTCAAATTCAGCCACTTGCTCTAAAAGCTCCCTGTAAAAGTGTAAGAAGGGAAACATATTAGACAAAGCATTTTAAAAACTCATCAAAGGGAAACAAAGTGATCAGTCTTAAAAAAAACGAGTGTGCAGCGTGCATTTTGTGTGAACCTGACACTGTAGAAGTTAAAAGTAGATTGTAACCTCAGTGTTCATATTTATCTTTGCTAACGTTACAATCTACTGTTGTGAATGTTTGGCAAAGAACAGTGAACACCCTGTTTTTTTTCCTGATGGCAGTTATGTTATAAAACACATGCTTGTGGTGAGCTGAAGTGTTCTCTACAAAGCTCATATGTGGTTTTTTAAAAAGCAGCTGAAGACACGTAGACCGTGGGGCGTCTTCCTAGCTTTAGAAAGCTATTCAGTCACGTACAGCTGTAGCCTGTGAGGGGAAAAATGAGGGTTTATAGGTTGTTTATCCACCCACCATGTGCATACAATAAACAACGTTTCTCCAGAATACAGTGCTTAAAAGGTGAGAGCTTACAAAGGTCACAAGTTCGATGGAGTTCGAGAGTGCGTTCAGATTTGTGCACAGTAGAGGTTTATCAAACAAGCCAACAGCATGAAATTATGTAATGAACAAAAGGGTGTGTGACCTTTTGTGATGTGTGAAAATGAAGCAAACGCAAAGGTTAAACTGTAGCTTGGATTTTAAAACCTTTGACAACTAAATTAGTTTTACTCCTTTAACAGTTACGTATAAATATCTTTAAGCCAGAAACTCCTGATGCCTTTGCAGAGATGTCAAAAGTGCAACATTTTCAAGAATTCAAAGTGGGTTTATCTTTGTTGATGGTATCAGATGTGCACGTCCACATTGCTCAAGAATTTGCTGTAATACGAAAGAAAAAAAAAAGGTTATTTACTCTCGGGGCTTTTCGCATACTTGGCTATGAAAAAAAAAGGTATTTTTTTATTGTAAGTCTGTAAATGCATCGTAAAATTTTAAATATTACCTTTTTCATTTTAAATTTAGAATAATGCACACACATAAAAACACTTGAAGTGACAAAGAGTAAACATTGAGGAGACTTTAGCTTCCCCCTGCTATTTTTTAACCTAAAGGACTGAAATACTTTGTTTGCATTAAGAAATGTTCTTATGTTACTTGTCAACATAGACATGTAACATATTTGAACCTATGTGGTCATAAACCACCTCTGTAACAACACAGCTCTGCTCTCGCTAACTCAAAGTTTCAATAATGTAAATTGTATCCACTTCATCCCCCCCCCCCCCACACACACACACACACACTATCCTGCCAATTTAATAATACTCTAAAGTTTCAACGGTCATGCTCAATAATCCAGGTAAAAAAAAAATCCAACAACGTTAAGGTTAAGTCAGGTCCTCTGGACAATTTATTTTTTGTTGAAATGTTTTGTCCTTCATCCATAGGACTTCATCAGTCTGAGGAACCACAACAAACTCAGTCCCACAATAGTGGACCAACCGTATTGCTTCCACCCCCCAACCGTTCGGCATATTGTTTTTGCACTATGAAGTGTTTAGCGTATTTCTTAGTTTATATCTTAGATCCTTAGTACTGTTTCTTTTACGGTTTATATTTTTGCTATTGTTGGATGTAACTGGAACCCTGTGTACACAATTTCATTCCACCTCATGTACCACATGTGATGCGAATGACAATAAAGAACCTTGAACTTGAACCAGTTTTCTGGTGATAAGATGGTTGAGTTTGTTGTGGCTCCTTGGACTGATGAAGTCCTTTGGATGAAGTAAATGGACTGTACTTATATAGCGCCTTTCTATCTTATCAAGATACTCAAAGCGCTTTACACAATCTGTGCCCTCATTTACTCATTCCTACAGCACTCTATTCTAAAGAATAATCAGAGCTTTACCACATTCATACACCGATGGGACACACATCGGAGGCAATGAGGGATACAGTGTCTTGCCCAGGGACACTTCAGCATGTGACTGCTGGTGGAATCGAACCCCCAACTCTTGCATTGGAGGACAACTACTCTGACCACTCAGCCACAGCCGCCCTCGAAAGGACGAAACGTTTCAACAAAAAAATAAATCGTCTAGAGGACCTGACTGAACTTTGTTGGATTTTTTTACCTGGATTGTTGAGCATGAACTTTGATGTTTTGAACCACTTTGGCCATGGCTGCTTGAGAGGAGTCGATGAGGGAGAGGGCAGACTCCAGAAACCATCTTATCACCATCAAACTGGTTGGCCCACTATGTGAGTGTGCTACTTGTGGAACTGAGCTTGTTGTGGCTCCTCTAACTTATGAAGCCCTTTGGATGAAGGACAAAACATTTCAACAAAAAAGAAACCGTCCAGACGACCCTGTAAAGTCTTTGATTCTTAGTGAAACACAGGCATGTATGAATAATGTGATCAGTCTTAAAAGTGTTGCTGTGTTTCACTCAGAAGGTAATAAGGAAGACAGTGGAAATGTGGAGTAATATAAAAGTATTTCTAAACAATAAAGGGTGGAAATTTTGTCTCATGGGCTCCCAAAAGATAAATTTAAAAAGCTTGAAGTGTTTACTTTTCACGAGATTAAAGGAAATATGTTGTTTGTATTCTACACGTCAGTTTGTTGTTTTTAGAGTAACTAAATGTCAATTTTAAAAACAAACATGGTGTAATGGAATAAACGTGTAACGGAAAGTAGAGTAAAATAGATCAGTGACCTTTTTACCTGGCAGATGGATGTAACAAAAACTAAAAGGATGTGAGATACACAATCATGCAAAGGGAAAGTCCCCTCCCTCCCAGGACTATGTGTACATTTAGAAGCCTAAAAGTAGCAGTAATAATAATAAAACAATTATCATTTTGGATTTTCAGGACTGCACATTAATCCCTTTTTTATTGTACTTTTTCCAAAATAAGAATGTGACTCTGTCAGCTTTGCATCTACATGTTTTTGGATTTTCACCACAGCAATTTGCAAAAGACCTGGATCCGCTTCCCCCTCCAGAGCTCACCTGTTCTCCAGCTCTGAGATGTCGCTCTGGAGGCGAAGGTAAAACTTCTCTGCATGGGAGAAAAGCTGCCTGAGCAGCAGCACGTTAGTGTGGGCTGTGTTGATGAGCTCCATCTCCACCTCCCCACGCACCACCATCTGCAGCCCATCCAGCATCTCCTTCACTTCGTCCACCGTGAACGTCTCCTCCACCAGCCTCCAGGGAGACAGACACCAACAAGCACAGATGTCACTGAACTGATCGGTTCATTACAAGTTTTGTTAATAGACGAGAATAAAATCAAAATAAAGTGCATTTTCACAACAAATGAGCTTACCTGCTATCTTTGAGTTCCTCAAAGCAGGAGTCAATAGTCTTAAGCCTTAGGACCCTCTTGGAACGGGCAAATCGCATATAATTGATAATTTCATTCTGATGATGTTCATTAAACCCAAAGTCAGCCTGCATGGAGACAAAAATGAAGAAACTTGATGCAAATGTAGATCAGAAAGACAAAGCAAAACACAAAGCTGATGTAAGAGCAGCCACAATTAGCTTATTATAGCTAACTTGAAGAGGATTTTCTCTTGTGTTACTAACAAGGCCTCTTCGTGTGAGCTAGCGCAGCTAAAGGAGATGCTTGCTAACATTAGCTCTTTACTCAGCTCGGGCATTACGTTTAGAAAACAGCCTTTCTAACGTGTAAAACTAAACAGGTGTGCAACATCGCGATCCGCAGCAGCTACTTACCATGATGGCTGAATAGCTTGTAATCGGAGTTGATCCAAAAAAGGATGACTCTGACTCTAATTAGGTAACGCAGGGAGCGAATTAAAATCTAGAATTAAGTTACTGAATTAAAAATTTAGTAAACTTCCTTGAATGGGTGTTTTAACTCTGTAAAGACGCTAAGTTCACGCTACACCAAAGCCGTGAGATTATCGTAATAAACTGCTAGCCTAGCTATGCAGCTAGTGTTTGCCTCGAGAATGCCTAGGCAACGGAATAAAGCGTCATTACCTTGGTAACGGGAGGTGCGTTCAATGGTACTACGTACAAGCGTATTGTTAACGAAAATAAGCAGAGGAGAATTAAAAGCTGCTTGTGAAAATATACCTCGCTTTTATCATAACTAAATCGTTCATGCTTAAGCACTGACGTTTTATTTTTCGTTTTACTCTAGTTAAATTTTTGTTATTTAATCTAGAGTTTGTCAGCTGAAACGACAAGATATAATGTATGATTTGTCCGTTTGTCTTTAAATGTTTCATGACTCATTACATCTTTCTCTTTTCTAGATGTGTTCTTGAATTAAAGTAATGATGTTTACAACAGTGTGTGGTGGCCTAAAGATCACTAATTGTACAGTAATTGTTGTCTAAATCTGCCCTATCCTGTGTGTACAGACATTTTTTTTTTTTTGACTTTTTAAAAATTCTTTAACAATATTTTGTTCCGTAATTATGAAATACAGCACTGCTGCATTAGATGATTTGCCCCAATGCCCAGTTAATTCTTGATAATTGGTTGTTCTCCTCCACCCACTTTCAACATTGCACTTTGTTTCCCTTTTGAGTTGACATTTTTCACAACAAAACACACTTGTTCATGTTCAGGCTGCTGTTGAATATATCATATTATTTTACATTAATAGTTTTCAGTGTATATCTTAGATCCTTGTACTGTATACTGTTTCTTTTTATACTTTTTTTGTTGTTGTTGCTATTTTGGGTGTAACTGGGACTTTCCACTTCATGTACCACATGTGATGCTAGTACGACAATAAAGAACCTTGAACCTTGAAATTGCCTGCAACTATTGTTGAGCCTGCGTCAATGAGCAGTATTGACCACTAGATGGCAGTATAAGGCTTTGAAAAAAGTGCAACGACCAAGTTTATTACGTTTGAGTATCTTTATTACAAACTGTATGCAAGTTTCAAATATTTTTGTATTCAAAAGATTGTTAGATATTGTAATTTTAATAAAATTATGATTTGCTCAGTTGACATCATGTGAGCCAAATAAAATGTTGATAAAGATTCGACGAAGTTAAGACTCAAAGCAAGTCTCCTGGCTCCACAGATAAATAACATTATTAACTTGCTTTTTTTGCATGTGAATGTTTCTGTACATTGCCCTGAGATGACTTCTGTTGTGAATTGGCACTAACTGAACTGAACTGATTCTGTGACATAGTTTTCTCATCCTCAATACAACCCACAGCCCTTCCCTTTCCATCTTGTTAACTGAGACTCTGAAAGGAAAAAAATGAAGAAAACCTTTATTTTCCTCATGTCTCTCTCTCTCTCTCGTAATTGAATCAGACTAACGAGCAGCGCATGGTTTGTCACTCAATCAGATGCCTTATAACGTGACCAATCTGAGCAGTTTCACTCAGGTTTGGTGTACAACATCAGTCAGTAACAGAGGTCAAGATGTTTCACTTTTACCTTCAATCAAGGTGAGTCACTTATAATTTGACAAAGACTGAACACCAGTAATCTAAAGTCATAGGTGAAAATCTGTGACTCAGATAAGTTGTATTTTTATAAATGTTGATACATCAATATTCCTCAGCAGGTTGTCTGACTTTTCCTTTATGTCAAAGCACAGCTGAAGTAAGGACATCTTTGGGAAACTCTTAAATATAAATGTAACTACAAAAAAGGTAGTCAGTGCAATGTTTTTGTGGAAACCTTAACATTAACATGACAAATATAGCATACATTGAAGGCTACAACCTCAAAGGCAAGTAAAACAATAAAATGTTTTGAAAAGTAGTTTAAATTAGACAAGAGATAAAGACAAATGGTTTGATATTTGTTGATTTTAGGTTATTACATGTTATATACAAGTTACTGAGCAATAATTAACATATTCAACAATGAACCTTTACCATCATCAAAGCAAAGGAACTATTTTGTATCTCATTTGTCTCTAACATTGCTTGGTGTTGTTCATTTGTCCACCTAAGCAGGTGTGTGTGTTGATAGTTTAAAGCAGTGTGAGTTATCCTTTGTGAATGTTTAGTACTGGTGCACCAATGGAAAAGTGTCCATAGATGGCAGAAAAGTTTTATTTTATGTTACTCATATCAGTAATAATCTTTTATTCCCTGACATAACTCATAAAAAAATTGTCATGTAAGCATTCTTTGTAAACCCTCAACTTGTAAACTCATATTTTCCAAAAAGAAAATGCAGATAAATAACTGACTACAAAAGTAAGGGGAAACTACAAAATGTTTTTCATTATTTAATTTAGATTTGGTGGAATTATCAAGCATCATTTTTGTGACATGACTACCACAATTAGGTGGTTGTAAGTGATGCATTTTGTATTTCCAACTTTTAAATAAGTACTGAATGAACTTGTTGGTTATTTAGCTTATTTAATATTTTTCCATTTATTTATGACAGCTCTATGAAGATGAGTCGCTTGCGACCGAGCCAGCTTAATATACTCGTTCTTTTAACTGAAATAAGTTCTGTTGTGAGGGGGAGGAGTTAGAAAGAAAATTGAACAATACTGGTATCATGCACACGCATGCATGCACACATAATAATTAAATATCAATACTTGACATAACAGGTAAAAATAGTAGCTGCTGAGCTGTTAGGGAGCTAAAAGAGTCGTACGTTGCTGGTAAATTGAGCCAAATATTTTGAATCCCAGAAAAGAATCGGAATTCCCATCACCACTACTATACTGTTCTGAGGTCGGCTCGGTTAGTAACCATCCATTCAAACGCAGAAAGAAACCTCTAACGACTGATCCTGGGTCAGGTCGCTGGGTGATTCGTTTTCCACACAAACCAATCAGCTGATAGCCGCATGACAGGCAGGCCTCGCGACTGCTCAGTAGAGCGCTATTTGGTGTCAGGAACATGGCAGCGTCCTGAGTCTTGTCGAGGGGGGTGGGAGTACGGCGGAACCGAAGCACTGGCTGAACTGTGAACGGCGGGGGGGCTGAGGAACGGTTACAATTAACACCCATTAGCGAATTAACAGGTAAATGCACCCGCCGGCGCGTGACACTTTCCCCTTCTTCTTCGCGCTTGCTTGACTGAACTCCAGCGCTCAGACACATACTATGCTAGTTAGCGGCTAATTTGTGGCTAACCCAACATTGGCCCGCCACAACCCCTTTAAAATGCATTTAACAAACAAACGCTGATAACAGAAGTATTTGGAGTATTGTTCTGGGTCTAGGTAGGTGGCGCATTCGTGTCGACATCACAAAAAGAGTGCAGTTGTGTTTGTTTTTAGCCTGACAGTACACCGCGAAGGCCTGCTGCAATGAAACAGAACTGGGCTAGCTTCTTTATTGCCAGGTAACTGTAATGCTGTTTGTCGTGGATTTACTGGACGGATTGGGAGCTAGTGCACGTCCACAAATGGGCTTTAGGATCACAGTTGGGCCTTTAAACGCGTCTTGTGGCACTTAGTTTACATTTGTGTGTGTTACATTTTGCTAGCATATAATCTGCTTGATGAAGTGGGTAAATTCCTGATTAGTTCCTGTTGAGGACTGATGGCTTCATATGACTGTCAAATACATAAAACTAAGTATATTTACTTGTGATTTACTTTGTCTTGACTAGTTGAATTTACAAATACAATGTTTTAATAATCCTGACAGTCCAAATCCACTCATCCAGGTGTGTTATGTTTTGTGGACCATTGGTTTTGTCTTGTTTTACTGGTATCATCTGTTTAAATGGGATTTTATAAGACGTATAAAAAAAAGTCAGGGCCATACACGGTTGAAGTGGCACATGACAGTTTGACCCTTGTCCTCACTGATGCTGAGGTAGTTTTCCAGTGATTCCCAGTGATTGAACCTCCTACACAGCTGTGAGAATACAACGTTCGCTGAGACAAAATTTAATTTACACCTTTTTAAATGTTTCATGCAGGACTGTGTAGTTGACAACAATCACAGCTTTCTTTTGTTTGGTGTCCTGTTTGTGGGAACTCTAGCCATTGTTTTTATTTTGCATTTCTTTTTATAGAAAACTGTCAAGGTAGCTCAAGTGAGATGCAGATTGTTTGTATTCAGGGAAGAACTGGGAAGGGCAATCACATGACTCAATCGTAGCATTGTTCTGACCTTTTTTTACACTCGTCACAACTCAAACCAGCAATGAAATTAAAAAAAGTACTCAACTGCTGCCACAAAGAGCAAACTATGGAAAACAAGCATACAACGCATGCAGTTTTATAAATCAACATTTAAACAAGATTCTGAACATTTTTCCCCCAATCTCCTTATGAAATGACTTGAATTGCACTTGTCTCTTCAGGGAATGAATAAATGGGGTTTATTTTGGCATAGTGCTGTTTGCTGTCTCACTGAATTGGACAGGAAGGAAAACTGTAGTTGGATTTTTCCAGGATCCGGGCTGAGTGCTGACACAGGTTCCCCTTGTCACAGTGCAGCTGCCAGCTAATTTCTGCATGTAGAAGAAGAGTCCCTTTTTTTGTGCTTTTTTTTGCTTGCTACTATCTTACCTTGCTTTATCACACTGTACCATTTCATGATTTAACCGTGTCTATTTTAAGTATAACAAATATAATGTAAGATCACAATTCAGCAGGTAAATTGTGATCTTACATTATATTTGTTTTACTTAAAATAGACAGGTAGACATGTGCTTACCAACACTGATCACTGACTACTTATCTGG